GATTTTCAAAAAATTTAGCTCTACCATGTTTCCGATCGAGGACCTGTCGGTGATCGACCAGCTGTACCTGCTAGCCGGTAAGACGAGCGGCAGAAGCAAGTCCTCTTCGTGCACCAAACTTGACAAACCCAAAGTAGAGTTCAAAGTCCCCTCGGTGAAAAGGCACCAGTCGGTGTTGTCTCTTACGACTGATCCCAAGGAGGAGCAAAAAGAATCTTCAATAACTGGCATTCTTAGGGTATATGCAGCGTACCCATGTGGCCTTACCAAAGGAACAAACGTCAAGCTTCAGGTTTCTTCGAAAACTACGTCGAGGGAAATCGTGAACACTGTCGTTAAGCGTTTAAACAAAGAGGTGGTCGCTCGGAAGCTCAAGTCACCGATTTTTGAAGGGAGCAAGTTGGACTCGCTTTGCTTAGTTGTCGTCATTGGCTCCAGAGAAAGATGTCTGAGGGACGATTTCCATCCTCTGCTGCTTCAGAACCCTTGGACCAAAGGGAAGCTTTTAGTCAGGCAGCGGAACGATCCACTGGCAGCTCTGGAATGCGGCAACGAAGCAGAGGTGTGATCCGACGTCTACGGTGTTTATTTCTTTTGATTCTGTGATATACCGTTTTATAAAAGTAAATTCTGTCGCAATTAAAGAGTGCTAGTTAAGTGAAATTCTATGGTGCATAATGGCATTTTATATGTATCATTTAAGAATCTAATTCTTGACGCTGTTTGACATCTGTCTTCAATTCAGAACGACCATCAATGAGCAATTGTCAAAGATCACTGGTGATGCAAAGTCTTGAGACCCTGTATGGTTCATTTCAGCAAATGATTCACAGATGTCAAAAATACTCACTAAGGAAACTCCCTCACTTTCTACTAAGTGACGTTTTTATCAGGCTTCAATACTCAGTAATGGATGTTCGAGTTAAGAGAGGCGTAGAACCGTCAATCGATCATCATGTTGTTGTTGCTATTCTCCGCTGCTAACGACGACATATCATTTGACACGTGGTGCTTTAAAAGTCATTAACCCCTGTATTTTAAGGCCTGTGTACATTTACAGGGGCAATCGTCATTATAATTGGTCGGCGATCAAATGAGTCAAAACTCTACGTTACCTTGGAAATATATATTCAGAGAATGTCTTCACAATTTCCTTTGGATTTAATGTGAGCAAAGGATTCAAAATTATTCAGTCTTGTTTTGTGTCAGGGTGTACTTCTGTCTAACTTAATTTTAATAAAGTCGTATCTACAATTGGCAACAGGTTTACCATTTCTTAAACCCAACTGTCTCGTTTACAGAATGTTTCAGTATCGTGAAAGGTCATAACTTTGAAGAAAAATATGCTTCGCTGCGACATTTCGTCCCTCCCCACTGAATTAGCAGGAATTAATACGTTTTCCTCAAAAGGAGGTTACCGTTGAAGAGATCCGCCACTCTTTTCTTACCCTTGACTAAACAGTCGGCCTTTTTAAATTCATGACAGGCTTTGGCTGACACTTTGCAATAAATGAAGATGACGAGGGCCCTGGCTTTTATAGATCACAGCTCCACAGCGTGAAAAATTGATTGGCTGACGAACGATATCTCTTAATAATCCTGAAATTTCACATCAGTAAAACTTATTAGTTTTAAAGTGAGAAATTGCAGTTTCTACATTTTTCGTACAGTTATACATACACATCATATTCTCAGCAGTCCAGTCAAATATTTGATCTTGCTGAGCCTCTTAAGTCCTGGGAAAATGTTTCTAGCGGTAGCTTTAAATCTTTTCGAGCTACTGGAACATTCGCAGGTACGACTTTGCGGCACTTTCTACACGTCCGTCTTCGCTTATGTTCCCAGACGCTGACCTGTCGCCAACCGAACCCGATGGCTGCGGATAAGATCATCAGGCTGCCGGTGATGTAGAAAGAAATTCGAAAACTGCCGGTGTGATCGAACAAAAAAGCTGCAAATAAACTTGTCAATGCAACTCGAAGCAATTTGCGTAGTTCTGTATTATGCGACTTACCTGAAATTACATGCAGTCAAATATTTATTCGATCCAGATGTATGAGGTTGGAATATATATAATTTCATAAGTTGCTTGAGTTTAATAATTTAATACGTCAAAAATTAAAGATTATGGCGTGCGAAATATAGTTCCTTGTGCAAAAACTTATGTTATTAGTATGTGGTCAAGAGTAAGTATTTCTTTGCTTTTGGCTGACGTATCTTCACACGGCCAAGAGTTCCTGATTAAATTCTGATATTATTTA